CAACGGCCTGGAGGTATCTGGAATACAGGACTCATGAAACTAAACCTCATCTTAACGCTGATGCACTTAATCCACTCGCGATCTTGGTATTTATCGAAGACAAAATTAACAGTTGGCTAATCATTTTACTAAAATTAACAGTGTTAATCAAAAGACAAACAAAAAATCGCTTATATTTACAAAATTTCACAGAACTAGTTTCGATGTTTCCGACATCAGTCTCAGCTGCAAACCGCAAATAACAAGATCTGAAAAGTGATTAGATAACTAAGAAAGCTGGACAAGATAGCAAGTGGCGCCATCTGTTGGTGAAACATAACTAAAACATAATTCTTTAAAAACGAAGGCAATTTTGGATTGGAATTAGATCGTTACTGAACAGAAAGATTTTTATGATGTGAAAGCCTCTAGAAAATCCCAGTTCTCCAATGGAAGATTTTTTTGAATAATTTGGCAACAGAAAACTTGAAACTGGATTTTCGGACCAACAATATTGATCACAGAAGCTTTTGTTTTCCTTTTTCTCACATATGGCTCATGTTCCGTGACGCGAAATTTTAGGCTCTCTAGTTTGGTCAATGTAAATTAAACCACACTGAAGGAATCCTAAATACCCCGGAATGCTATCCGGATGGGGTCCTTATATGGAACGCGAATTTATTGATGGGAGAATAACAACCGAAATTAATTTCTGAAAAATGTGCACTTTATAGCTATGATGGAAGAAGGGAATACAACATAATTTTATAATCTCCTAAAGCAAAAGTGGCCTTTTAGTGTGTTGATATGAGAATTTTTAATGCTTGAGTAATAATTTGGGTGAAAAGCCCTGTAATACTTTCTTTTAAATAATTTGTTCTTCATCAAGGGCTATTTGGGGAGCAAACTAAGAGCACGAAAACATACCTCTAAATCTCGCAGAGTGGATTTGGAGGGTGACAGCAGTTTTCGCTCCGTTTCGTGTCAAACACGCATATTTACTTTCGGTACAGAACATGTTTCCCAATGCAATAATAACTTGGGAAGGGAGTGAATTGAAGGAGCAGGACGACCCCCTGTCTTGTCATCGCCCACCCGACTCAGGTTCTTAATATACGAAGTTAGCCAGGAACGGAAAAAGCGTGCCATTGGTTGTGGTATTGAGTCACCCGGGAGAGAAGAAACCTCGGCCGACGCGTCTGCTAATGATTTTGGTAATGGAAAAAATGTAAACTAAAGCAAAAGATCATTTTATATATGTGGTAGATACACCGTAATACCGGGTATATACTTTCCGATAAGTTTTTGTTAAAGAAAATGTTTATTTATGACAGATTCGTACTAATGCTGCAATAATTGTAAACATAATTCTTTTCGTAAAGGAAGTATAGAAAAGAAAACGATATTTAAGTTATTAGGGATAAAATTGTAAAACAGTATTTCAATATTTTTTCGTAGTATGTTTCACTAATATCTGTTGAACAGAACACTGAGGCATAACTGTAAGACCATGGTAAAACATAATCAAAAGTATTATCTATATTTCATTGCTCAGACTTTTTTAAACAAATGAACTTGACATTCCATGAGAATATTGTCGTCTTTTCAGTTTAAATTACAATCTAAAGCAAATATATTAAAAAGATTTGACTTAACAAATCATATTTAATACCATAAATCTACAATTTCTTATATCCGTCATTTATACATTTAAAAGTATACTTATCGCATTCTTATAAGTGAAAGTCACTTCATACTGATCATTCAGATTTTAGCAAGGCGTATATTTCAGATATCTAGAAGTACCTTATATCCACAACTGCCAAGATTCTATAAACATTTATCCTGCGTGATATTTGTTATGTAAAAATCTTCGATATTGGCTCCTATTTTCCTTCCTACCTTAAAAATGAAACAATTAATACTTTTTTAACTATAAGCACAATAATCATAATAATAACTTGCCCTAAATCTTAGTTTCGGCCACCAGCGGCTATTATGCAAGTACACTAGGGTTATCTGCGTAATAGTGTATGTCTTGTGGAGGACTTTCTCACGGGAACTGGCTCGTTACACGTAAGATGAGGAAAACAGAAAACACTGCAGGCAGCCCGTTCGCGGGATTGGGCCGAACACCGTGTTCAGCGGCTGAGCGGTAAAGTCGCTGACACTGGTAGTTCGGCCCGAATCCGCAACGGGCTGCCTGTGTTTTCGTGGTTTCTCAGCGTAACGTGTAACGAGCCTGTTCCCTGGAGAAAGTCCCCACGAAGACATCACACCTATACGCAGATACCCTATGTACTTGCCATAATTAAATACACCACCACTCTTATGTCAATCGCCTGTACCAAATTAAATTTTTAATTACTAATGTATTTTTACAGGTTGTTTCTTAAAATACTTTTATATACTCGAATATTGTTTCTATTGAATTATTTTTCTTTCTCTTATAATTAATAACAGTTATGGATCAAAATTAACATATGCAGCAGTTTAACCCTTGAAGGGCACCGGTATATAATATATACCGGTTTGTTTGTCAATTTTTTAAACCTCCATAAAATGCTAATTTCTACACCACAGTACTATCGTAATGTCAGTGTTTTCTTTCAATTTTATGGTAGTATCACCTATGAAGTCAATATTTTGCGTTATGAAATTAAATACCTTTGCAAGGTATCTGGAAGATTCAGAAATTCTAGTGGAGGGAAAAAAAATTCAATCTGCAAATATATGAGTAACATGCTGACTCTTATAATTTACTCATTTTTGTCAGAATGATAATAACAAAGATTATTATACGATTTAAAACCGGAGATATAATACCGGCGACCCACTGAGGGTACACGCCATAGATGCAGCACAGTTTTTCTCCTTTCTCTATGTGACAACTAATTTCTTTATTATTATAACAGTTTATGATTAAAATTTTCATGAGTATTATAATCGTTGGGATTAATATTATGTTCATGGAGGAATGGGGATTTTACTGACTCTGCGCAGACTGAATACAAGTATAATTTTCATTATTCTTTGTGACTCAGTCGAGTTCATTGCTTGTGATTCCTTCCAAAGAAAGATCATCGATTTCAAATTGCCATCTGGGGTCAAACTACACAATTGTGGGGTAATGGCATGTAGCCCCAAAAGACACCGTGCTTCTGTTTTCCAAAATCCTAGAATCAAGGAAATGAAAACGGATTGACAACTCATTTGTCATTCCTGAGTCACGTCTTTCCTTTTGTGAGGTGTGATAGATCACACAAGGGAAAGCTCACTTAAATGGAAATGTACATCTCATAGTGTCATCACAAAAACTCCTGGTTAAAGCTTTTATTCTTTGGGAAATTCTTTTTTAATCTTTGTTATTTCAGATGAAAGCTGGAACACAAGAGAATTTGCGCTTGGTTGATACAATAGGTGTTTCGAAATAAATTTCACAGTAGTGAAAGGAGGAAAAATATTTCTGAGCCCTTTTAGATGCAAACTAAAATGTATCCAAAAGTGAAAAGGAGCCTCTATGAAGCCAAGGATGAAAATCAAATAAGCTTGAGGGTATCAATAATAAAATTGTTTACGCGTTCTTCCTGAAAAAAAAACAAACAAAAAAAAAAAAAAAAGATTTACAACTATACAAAAATAAAAAAGGACCTTACTGTCCTCAATATCTAGAGTATGGTGCGTGGAGGGGGGGATTCTTCGTATACTGTATGAGCATGGTTTGTTCCATATGTTTAAGCATAAAAACTACTCAAAATGCAACTCTTTCTCACTGAGTCGGCGTAGTGTCATTTTCAATTTTTATTTTCGGTGAGTTAATCTGCTTGTATATTATACTAGTTCAGTTACAAGCTGAGCCGTTTACAATGCAGTGTTATATTGCTAATTTTTTTTATAAAATATTGAATTTAAATCAAGTTGAAAAGCTTTTTACCAAGTTTACTAAGTTGTTCAGCTGGGTTCATCTCAAATTGCATAAAAACATAATTTTATTTAAATTTAAATTTCTGCCCGAAATTAAAAAAAAAAAAATTGCTTTAAACTTACTTAACGAATATTCAAGCCTCATCACTACAGACGCACATAAAAGTAGGCAAATTAATTTAGAACGAAGATTAACAGTTGCCAGCTACCTGGAAAAAAATGTCTCGAGGGGCCCGGTAAAAATATATACGGCTTCAAAATTCAGGATTTCGCTCGAGATTTTTTTTAGTCTCAATTATGTCCTTAGGTCCATAATTTATAGTTCATGCAAAATTTTACCACAGTCAATTATTTATTACCGCCCCTCAAAGGGTTAAAACACTACCAGAATATCTTACTCTTTCGCTATTTTATTTGCATTATACTGATTTGTTTTCCTAGGTTCAGCATTGTAAGTTAATCAATTAAATCCATCACACATCTGTCTGATCAGTTAAATAACATGAAGGAAAAATGTCCTCACTCATTCGATGTGCATCATAGTGTGGTCGAGAATGTTCTTTCCTCGGGAGGCATGTATCAGTTTACTTAGTCGCAAGCTTAACCAGCTCTGCTTCAAACATAGAATTACGTTGGGATTAAAGAAATAACCAAAAATTGAATAGTTGGGACGGAATTATTAACTAATCATCAGTACTCAGTTTGAAACATGACATTGAGTTTAAAATCTCATACGAGTAAGTCCATACACAAAATGAAAGATATGATAAAATGTTTAAAATGAGAAATTTTCATTTAAATGTAAAATAGCAGTAAAATGAAAAAAAATGTAAAATACATCACATTCTGTATAAAACTACTAAATTCATTAAAAACTAGTATTTTATCTGGTTGTATATGTTTTCCGCCATAAAATTTCGTAGTTTAAGATATGCCGCTCACCGAAGCTGATTTTCTTCGCCCACGGGTTGTATTCCCTATCCATTTATTTGAAAATATCTTGCCTCGTGCACTTAATGCGATTACTGCAAAAACTTTAGTAGTAATGACCAGAAAAAATAGTCATAATCATAAGTCATAACGTTCTTTGGCTAAGCGCCATTTCAAGCGAGGACAGTCGTAACAATGGATACAGCTCCTTTGCCAAAAGTAAGTTCGCTTTTAAAATATATATACAATTATTTCTTTATAAATATCTTAATTATTATTATAAATTATAGTTAGTTTTTGCTCTTTTTTTTTAGGTGTCTGTAAATTTGCTTTAAGAGTGTAATGCTGTAACGTAGTTTTATTTATTACGTACTGCTAACACAATGAAAGCTGTACGTATGGATGGTACTTTTTGTAAATAATTCTTAACATTATTTTTATTTTTGAACAATTTACACAAAGCTATCGAATTTAATTATTTAAATTTAGTTTTGCATGCATTCCTATTTCAAATAGGAAGAACAGCGGTGGAAAAAAAAAAATGCATACTAAAGTTTTGATTTTTTTTATAACACAAGTGTGTAAATTATTTGGTAGTATTGGAAGAAATAAAAACCGTATACTTTACTGAATTTCCTATTGAACTCATATCGTTTTCAGCTTCTAGTAGTTTTTAATAGATTTTTAACTTTCATTTTTTATAAATTCTGCTTATAGTTTGTGACAATAAAATTCACTTACTGTTGCAAAGCTGAATTTTTTTCCAAAATATAAATACTAGCACTACCTTGGGTCATATCAGCATTCTAAAACTTATATTTTTGCAAATATGTTGTTATTCTCGAGAGTGTAGGTGTAACTAAGGCCTCTTGAACATTCAAAAGTCCGGGAGGCCAATAAAGCTGCTAAGACGGCTTTCCGTTTACGATTTAAAAAAAATCTTGCATTCTTTAAAAAAGACTGAAAGCTTCAGATTTTAAATTACGTCCAAAGGGGCGTTTTTTTAACATTTTGTGTGTTACCTTTATTTATTAAATATCACGTTTTCTTCGCACTTAAACCATAAAAACATTCAACAGCAATATCGCAAAATAATTTTAAAATGAACATATCTTTAGAATTTCCAATACAGAGTCTCGCGAGCTGGAGATATATATATATATATTATATTTTTTTTTTACTCGTACAGTCTTGCCATTGCTCGCTTTGAAATCGTTTACTTGTTTACTTTGTTAATCAAAAATTCGTTGAAGTATTACAAATATTAAATAATAAAGCAAATAATAAAACCAATTTCAAATTCAAATTAGGGCTTCCACATGCCCATATTCTATGGAAGATTACCTTATTCAAATTTTGTTGGCTCTAGGTACCGTTGTTTTATTACAATGCGAGAAACATACATACATTCATGCAGATTCTTCATTATTTAATTTCTTTAAATATAATGTTTGGTGGCAGCAATTTGAAATGAAACATATCGGAATATGCAAAATATATGCAAAATGCCAAAACGAAATTAACAGTCCTTCTGGGAGAATTGCCCCTTTGGACTAAAAAAAAACCCAGCTATTTAAAAAAAAAATAATAAGTTTTGATTTTCTGATGACAAACTGAAAACTATTGTATTATTAAATATTCCAGGTAATTCATGCAGATAACTATTTAATGAGAATTCATTTTCAATCAAAGACCAAGCATAAAATTTTAGTACCTTGTCCCATTCTACATAGGTTCTATATTCCTAATACTTGTGCCACAGCAAATTGTCAAATTTATCTGCCCCTTGTCTTTTTTTTTAAACTGTAGCACAATAAAATACTTTTTTTTTCAGGAGGCGTTACATGATAGTTCAAAATTATCAGATTTTTATAACTGCAAGAAGTTCCCGAAGATGCTGTTAATGTCCTAAAAGGTAATTTTATTTTCTACTCTGTTTTAAATTAAAAACTATACCTAGTCCGGATTTTTGAAAATTCCAGATATTCAGTTGACTTTATATGCTATATACATGTATTTATTTTATGCTAAATATGTATTTACTGACAAATATACGTATATGCCAATATATAATATGTACACCAAATGTTTATTTCTTTTAATGCAAATAAGAAAATTAAAAAAAAACAGTATTTATTTCTAAAAAATGTAAGGCATGTTTTTTTCAGACTTAATTAAATAGTAAAATTCGTTTATGTCTAAACATTTTTATTTCAACTGAAACAAAACGACTTTTTATATGTAAGCCATAAAACCTAAATGTTTGATGCATTTTTATTTTATAATATGAAAATTAAGCAATATTGCCTTATATTTGTGGCAGCGCCTATCATATTTAAAAAATTAACTTATTTTATTAACAGATAATAGAATGCACAATTAAAAAACAGCTTCCCCTCCCTTCTATTGCGGGAGAAAACCTAATTCGACGGGTTATTTTTATTTATTTATTTCCCCCTTCTAAGAAAACTTGTCAGGCATACTTTCAAAATTGTCGAAATATATACTAATTTAAACGATAATTCTAAAATGATTCATAGATTAATTCATATACATCAACTCAATAGTTAGAAAGTTAAACTAATGACATTTACTTATTACTTTTCAAGATTATTGCCTTTTCATTTCAATTAGTTATTATATCTTCTCCTAGTGATATTAAAATGAGTGAGGATCTGATGAAGTAATGTTCAAAATAATATAATTGTTTACATTAGCAAAAGCTATTGTTGTATCAAACAAGTCTTATAAACCTTTTCTTATCCACAGTCCTTTAAAGTAGGAAAGAAATGTAAGTAACCTGATTTTAATAAACTCATATGAATTCATTTTCTGGTTTAGATAGGATTTAAAGACTCAGGTAACACAGCTTGTTTACATTTTCAATAACTAAGTTATGTGAACACTGTTAGAGGTGTAGCCAGAGTTCTTGCTGCCTCACTCAGTGCACAATAAAAAGTCTATAAAATGTCAAAATGATATATATAAAAACAAAATATCTGGGTTTATTTTTGAAATAAAACATTAATTCTAATACCGTAAAGTACTATTTTGTTTGTTTTCCTTATACACAAAATCATTAATAGTATTCTAAAAGTTTGATTTACTACTCTATCAGCTGATTTGTAGACAGTATGGTACAATTTCTCAGTCTTAGGTGTTTTTTAATCCATTTGTACTTTGCAAAATTCTTCTCGCAACAGTCATGAAAAAAATTTACAGATGTATATCAGTATTTGGAACTGCATTCTGAAATTTTATGAACTGCAGAAGTTCAAAGTTACCATCCTTCCACCTGCCTTCGAAAACACTACCGCAAAGAATCCAGTAAATGTAAACGCTGCAAAAGCACAAAGCTGGTAGAATTCTCTTGCGGCCTCCTCGCTTTCTTTTTCGCTGCTGTTCAAAATTTATTTGCATGTGTCATTTTTTCTCAATTTATTATTATTTTGTCTGATTTCCGTGCTATGTTTTCCTAAAAGTGATTTTAAAGTGTTTGCAAAGAAAATTTACAAAACTGCATACTCGAGTACTTGTCTCGGCATGAAATTAAGCATAATGGTTGAGATACAGTCAAAGAAACTATTAAATTGCGTTTAAAGAATGTTTCCTTCTAAGATAATATGTTGCCGAAAATTTTCTTAACGGAACAGTTTTTGGAACAATTTTGAGAAAATGGGGGAAGGCCAAATTGATTTCAGTAACTAATATTTACTTTATGTAAATTTTACTTACGTATGCTTAATATTATATTTCTTGCTGCTCATTCAGAGTCGTACCTAGGGTTTTCAGCGCCCAGGGACAACTGAAGATTTCGCGCCCCCTACTGCTTCCCAAGGATGGAAAACATTTAATTCTAAAATGCCGTAACATCAGTTTGGCGCCCTTTGGATCCTGCGCCCGGGGACAGATGCCCCTTGCCCCCCTCTAGCTACGCCCCTGCGCTCATTTTAATTTATATGCCCTAAATACCATGTTTAACAGGCTGTTTACTTACAAATGCTTAATATCATGCTTTTTCTCCGAACATTAATGCACATCCCCTAAATATTACCCACCAGCGGCAAAGTCGCTGAGCACTGGTAGTTCGGTCCAGAGTTTGAATCGCATGAAGGAGCTGGCTGCATGGACTTTTTTGTGGTTTTCTCCATGTGTAACGTGTATACGAACCAGTTTGCCTTACAAAGACCTCCACGGAGGCATCCATCCTTCCCATTAGGCAGATTTTTGATGGCATGTCAGCAACTAAAGGACAAATAAAGGCTTTGAAAAGCTGTCAGAATTTTATCGAAGCTGTCGAAATTATGCTTGGCAGTAGATTGGATCAAGCTCTGAATACAAAAACAGGTCAATTTGAAACCAAAATTGTAAAAGAAACATTTCAGTATGTTTCAGTCATAAAAACAATTGAAATGGTTTTGTCTAATAGCCATGTAAGAAATTGTATAGAAACTGAAACAATTTCTAATGATAGACATTTAAAAAACAGTTTTCATCTTTTTATGTCCCAAGAATTTTGAAATATGTGGAAACAAAACGCCCTGATCTTCTGGTACCAAGTATTGCTGATTTCAGTGGTAAAAATCTTTAAAAATTCAACTAGGATTAGAATGATTATAAATGATAGAATTTAATTAGGATTATAAATGATAGAATACTTTAAAACTTTTCTTTGTTTACTTTTTAATTACCTAGAGTAAAGTAATTTTGCATCTATTACTCACATTGGTCTTTATTCTTAAATGGCTTATAGTTTTTTCCTTCTGGCTCTTAAAGATAAGCGGTAAATGCATGTGCCTCTAGTGCCAAAGGCCTTTTTAATGATATTTTTGTAATCATTATGTAATAAACGTGTATATATATATATATATATAGATGACCTAAAAGCATTAGTTTTGCTCACAGAACTTTTGCTCAGCTAAAATTATTGGAAAGAAAGAGGGAAAAAGGTTTTATTCATTATTAATGAGTAAATATTTGGCATAAGTCTATGCATAAAAAATAATTTCATATGCTTAGCTATAAAATTCTTTTCATAGGATAATATTTTTAGTTTGCAGTGTATGTATATGTAAATAAGCTATTGATACTATATGTAAGTGAGCTGAGCTGCATATACTTTGAAATTTGCTACATATTCTATCTTGAAAGGTTCATGTGTGATATTTATATAGTTTCAATTAATTATTACATTTCACATGCAATTTTTATCCAGTATATGTCTTTTATATATACTTTTATTTTTATTTTTGTAGGGTAAAGGCAAAGCAAGTATTTTAGCATCAGGTTGTTATTTGAAAAAAAAAAAAAAAAAAAAAAAAAAAAATCCAAATTCTGCACTTCTAATATTTGCTAAATGTAAGTATTGAGGAATTTTGATATGCTTTGCACTAACTTTCATTTTAAGAGGGCAGATTATATTAAAATGAGCCATTTTACAAGCAGTGAATGTATTTGGCCTCATGTGGCTAAAATTCATCTTCTCAGGCTGCTTTCGACTATTGTACCCACAGATGATGCATGGTCATTTAGCTAATTTCTGTAGAATTGGAATTGCATTGATTTGAATGTCACCTACATACTAGCAAATATTTCGAGAGAATAAGATGGTTTGTAATATGTGTGATGCCTTTATATGATCTAAATCTAAAGCATGACACTAATCATATATATGCATGTATATACAGTGAACATAGATTTTTTTTTTTTTTTTTTTTTTTTAACTTGTAAAGTGATGGAAAAATTGCTTCAAGGTGAAATTCAAAAGATACACTTCCAGCCAGACTATAGCGATCATGAAATCAAGAACAAACATCTTTACAATAACAATAGTTTATTATGAACAACAATAGTTTATTATGAAGGGATGATACTTGTTTTCATAAGGAAAAGACAGACTAATTCTCCATATAGTTTGTTCTTTTTACATTTTTATGTACATTATTTATTACATTTTTCATTAAGAAGCAACGCACAGATAGACTATCCTATTTTATATTTGCATCAATATAATATTTACATATTCCTATATGTATTTATACTGCATTTTTACAGAAACTAAAAG